CAGACAATATAAATTTATGCGCCGGTATTTCTTGATCAATCAGTTTTATACTTATATCACTGAGAAAAAGATTATCAGGGTGATAACTGTTATAGATATTAATCTTTAAGTGTTTCTTGTTATCAAAAAATTAAGATACCTATAACGATGTTGACAATACAACGATGCCACTGTTGTCAGAAGCCTATTGACAAATCCACCTTCTTGTTTCTCAGCTGTAACGATGGCATATTCTTTTTGCAGCTCTATATTCGCATTATACAAACTAACGTACTGTTCTCGCAGCAGAGACAAATGTTGCTGCCACTTTTGTGCTTCTGTAGAATCGTCTAAAACATAACAAATCCATGTATATGATCATTCACATGAAATTTTCTGTAAGTTCAAGCTGCTATAAACTTACCCATGACTGATAAAAATATCACGTCCGGCGTGTTGTGGTTTAACGCAGTATCAGTGCATAATGCAGTCCAGCACGCATTAATGCACACGTTTATCTACTCATAAATCTGTCAAAATGAGGAAAAAAAGTGACCAATGACTGCGGGGTCAGGAACGAAGCAGCGCTATCGGAGGGATGAAACGTTGAAAGATCGTCGACAGAATAATGCGCGAACCGGTATTCGGAACTTGGAGAAACACGAAGTACCGCACAGGCCACACATGGGTCACATACACGCCCACATTATCGGAACCATTACGGCAGCCAACGGCAACTGTCATGCACACACACGTGCGCAACGTCTAGTAGGAAGCACCAACCGCACCAACACATATTACATATATGAAGATCCTTCGAAGCAAGTCTATTCAAGTCTGCAGATTGCTCTTATTTACTTTTGCGAAAAGATAGCGAATAGATAACGGCATGCTACACCCTTCAATTTTTATTGCTCAATTCACAGAAATCTGGAAAAAAAAAATGATAAGTGAGATACGCCAAGAGAAAGATATGCGTGTGCGTGCATGTATATATACTATATGTGTGAATTATATGAAGCAAGAATGAACAGAAGGGGATCGAATAATTGGTTAATGAGCTTTAAATTTGAAGTCGCAACATTACATGAATCGTGAGATGACGTAAAAAGACTCCAATGCATAATAACAAACTTTTCTGATTGAAGCGATATGAAATTCTTCTACGACATAAGACCGATTTTCATGAACTCAGTCTTCTGTTTCAAATAAGCGCGTAATTTGAATTAAAATTAAGATTAATAATGTAATACAATTTTTTTTAATAAAAATATGAAATGAAATTTTCTCAGTAGTAGATATTTTTAAAACAGAAGATAAGCTATGTAAAATATAAAAAATATTTCAATACATTATCACGTAGATTTTAATTTATTTTTTTGAATATTTATAAAGAGATAAATTTAAAAAGTACAAAATTCTTTATGCTTTGATTTGATACAAAATTCATTTTATAAATAACATAGAAGTTACAATTTCAAATTAAATTACATTATAAAATTTTATTCTACTTAATTTTCTATTAATTTAAAAGAAATTATAATAGTTTTGTTTGCAAGCATTCATTGTTTTAAATTAACAATATCTTATATCCCTAATTCAGTTATGTCTTGTATCACATAAATATATAAAACATTTATAACAACATAATATTAATAGTAACATGTATTATTATTTAGTTTTAAAATTTTATTTTGTATTTTAACTTTTTTGTTATTTAAAAATTTATAATGTTGCCTACACTAAAAGCATTTCACTTTCTGCTGTCTCCTTTGGTTGAGTATTTTGTACAGGATTTCTCGAATATAAAATGACAGCAAAACTCACCATAGCTATAGAAATGACAGTATTTATGTTAATAGGTATATTAAACAAAATCCAGCAAAGCGTTGCTGTAAAAATCAATTCCATAGCACTAGCAAAAGTCTTTAATATAGAATTTAAGGTTTTTAAGAAGAAACTCGTTATTATACCAACAAGTGCATTATTTAACATAATTAATATTACCTTCGGTTGTAAAGACGCACTGATTTCAACATTACTAAACGTATCATTTACACTATTCTTGAATGTACTTAATAAAACAATTGCTACAATGTTACAGAAAATGCTATCAATATACATAAATACATTCTGTACAAAAATGTCGATGTCTGCACCTTGCCGTTTCAGCAAGTATTCATTATATACACCAGCTAAGCAAGAGCATATTGTCTAAAAATAAAAAATTTTTCAAGAAAACAGACATATCATCAGTGACATTATATTATGCATAAAAGTTGACATACCTGTATAAGCATTAGAAATAGAAAAATATCTACATGGAATTTTGATCCAAGAACATTGACATCAAAATGCTTTACCATACAACCGATTGTTAAGATCACTAATGAAACCCATTGTATCCCAGACAACTTTTTGCTAAAAATGACCTAGAAAAGAACAGAATTTGTTGTATGTTGAAAATATTATCCATATGTATATATCCAGTATTGTATGTATTAAAAAATGTATCAATAAGGTAAATACTTGAAAAATAATTCCAGTAAATACAACACGAAGTTGTAACAAGACATAGTAAGTCGTAGGATCAAATCTAGCCAAATTGACAAAGGCTAGATTGTTGTACAGACAGTATAAAAATGCAGGTACCATATACAGCAGAAGTACTAAAAATTGAAAGGGATTTTCTTTAGTCCTTTTCAGATCACAATTGTGTCAAATATTTGTACCGCAAATTTTGGGAATTTATTATCTTTATACCAATCTCACCCTTTTTATTCTTCTTTATCTCCTGAAGAAGAGTTAGAATACTATTGCTGCAAATTAAAATAAAATGATATATCTATGCCTGAAATAATCACTTGTATAAATTAAATTTTTAAATTTTACTTACTCTTTACAATAGAGTGCTGTAGATATAATCAATTTTAAGACTTCTGTCATCAACACAACAGCTACAATGTTGTATTCATAGTGACCACTTCTTTGAGACCATGTCACAAGAATACCTGTAACATTTATGTTATATATTTTGACACTTTACTTTTATGGCAATTTAACTAAAATTTAAGTAATAGTTTCATGAAATATATAATAATTTTTATATAATATATAATAAAAATAAAAATTGTAGAGAAAGTAACCATGTAATCAATGCACCTTGATTTATAAAGAGAGTTATGTAGGAGATGAAAATGACAGGACTCCATCTTCCTGGGAATAATTCACTCCAATTTACTCCTCCCATTTTTCGATTTTTCTTGCTGACTTCACCAATTTGAAAGGTTTTGGTAGTACATTTTTGACAGGTCTTCCATTTCTAGTAGCTGCTGTATGCACGCCAATGCGCACTGGCAAGTCTCAATAGTGATGTATACCAAGGCCGGAACAGGCTGAGAGAGATATCACTATACAATCATACAAACTAGATATATCTTTGTGTAAGTGACATAATACATATACATACATATGCGTCCTTGCTCAGCTGCGCGCGTAAATTCGTGTCTATTATTTATGTATCTTACATTCAAAAACGAACTTGTTGGTCCTATTCCAAATAATTACATAAATAAGCGTACGTATAAAATTGTAACATCTACAATTCTTTTAAAGTCATAAATTAGCTACAAACTTTTCTACAAGCTAAAAACAATTTTTTACACTGTTTAGTATGCAATTGCATTCATCATATTGTGTGTGTGGCATTTGAAAAAATTAATTACAATATTTTAATATGTATTTGTCACATAGCACTTGAAAAAAATTTAATGTTTGTTACACCATGAGCAACTTCTTGCATGCAAAGCATTTCAGTAAACAATTTTTTTCATACTTTTTTTTATAAAGAAAATGGAAATAAAAAAAGACACAAATTTTTGCATATCCTATAAATTCATAACAACATAAAATTATCTACCAGTAAGTATATATAACATAAAACTGATGATAGCATATCAGTAATCACCTAAAGTGATATCATATCGATTGTACAATCTCTAGAGCAACCTAGTTAGTCAATATTTGCCAGTGCGATTTATTCTCACAATAAAATATATATATAATTATATTAAAATAAATCATATAACTTTTTAATATTAGTAGTAACATTATATTTAGTAATAACATTATTTAGTTCACAATTTAAGAGAGTTCAATAAGATCAAAAATTGTTTTGTTAATCTTTTATTATATATAATTTCTATATTACATGGCCATTTTTTATATATACATCTATAAACATGTATTTGGGAATTGTGGAGAATTTTAATATTTATACACTTAATTTCTGAAAGATTGATTTTTAATTGCTATCTATGTGACTCATAGATAACAATCTGTATTTTTTTATTTCCAAATTGTCCATTTGGAAGCACAAACATGGAAAAGATTTATCACATATGCACATATGATGTGTACTATCGAGCTTAAACATTATGTATATGTTGCATAGTTATCAGCATTCGTAATACTTGAACTATCAACAACATATAAATTCTAGTTTCCTCATCTTTTATAATCTTTAAATATTCCAATTGCTTTATATTGCTAATAATTTAAGTAGTTTATATGTAAATAAACGTAAAAAATCATATTTTTAAACTATCATATTTAGATAGTCAATGCAAGAAAAATCATTTATGTTAGTGGAGCGTGTGTTATTTGTATTGTCATAGTTATGACGAGGCAATGCAGTTAATGCAACTTATTACATAAATACGTTTCAAATACGTAATTATACAAAATGTTTCTGAAATAAATAATTAAACTTATTCTACCATTTAAACATTTGAAGAAAAAAATATATTACTCTTTTATAAGTGCAAAACTCCGTAAAGAAATAAAAATGTACGTATGATTCTGCTACAACAAAATTTAATTTATAATCTTTTCTTAAAATATTTTACAATGCAGAGCAATTAAAATGTCTCCGGAAAATTCTGCAGACAGCGTGAAAAGTACTATTGGCCTGCAAATATTTACGTAAGTAATTTGTATCTAATATTGCATCTAATATTTATGTAAGTAATTTGTACAAATAAATTTGTTGCTATAAAACACATTAGAATATGGCAATCTACAAAATGCAATTATTATATATAGGAGTACATAATAAATGTATTAAAATCGCATTATATAGGATCAGAGTTGCCAATTAAAATAAATATTTTTTCTTTAATAATTATTTCATGCTATACATGTGAACACAACCAAAGAAATTATTAATCATGTGCATTGATCAGGCACATATGTATTAGTATTAACTGTTAGTTCTTCATTTCTTTCTTTTATCTTTTTACAAGATCTCAGTCTAATCAAATATGAAGTCTCAACTAACGTTACCTCTGCGAAAATTTTACACCAACTATCACGCAACAAAAAATTGAAGGCCTTTTGACATTTTTCTACTAGAAATCTTAATAAATCCTTGTAATAATAACTATATACAAATGTGATTTACAAATTATGAACGCATTGATTTTTAAGTCAGTCGTTAAGTCATTTTATCGTGACATTTAAAAAAGTTGTAAATATCTAAGTAATGTATATAAAATCGATTTGATTAAATACAAGAAGTTAAATGGAATTAAATTTACATGTTTATGATACGACACAATTAGTGATTACTGAAATACAAAAAAAAAAAAAAAAAACAATAATTAACATCAAAAAATATTTTTACGCAACTTAAAATTGTTTATCATTTTTTTAATTATTCTAAATATATGGTTTTACATTAATTCAAATAGTTATATTAATTACAACAGAAAAGACATATAACAATCAAATGAATAAACAACCATAAAAAGATCAAATACTTTGCCCATACCAAAAATAAATTTGTTAGGAAAATTACTCATGATAAATTGAATTTTATGATCATCTGTACAGTAACTTGAAATTGTTCTATAAAATATGTCTATAATATTAGTCTGATGTATTTAATTGTTTCATAATTTGTTGCGTGATCAACTTGGTCGCTTCGCTTGCGTTTGGTATAAGAAACTTATCCATATCGGAAATGACCGTATCGTTATATTGCGTTGTACCATATTTGAAAGTTATCAAATCAGCGTGTCGTTTTCTCGACGTTATCTTAACGATACTCGTTAAAGGACGTTTTACGATTACATGCGCGGCGCCTTTCCTCTCTGGGATTTCTCGCAGTACTATGAGATAACTATCCGTAACAAGCAGCAGACTGAAACAAAGAGAAAAATGTTAACCGACGGATTGATATTATATGCAACAAGTTTTTTGTTGTTTTATGCTCACCTATCACAGAGATCACCGTTAACTTTTACTTCTTGGCATTTAAAGGAATGTAATAGCTTAGGATCTTTCATCCATTGCTGTATAGATACTACTTCAATAGGCTCTTCACTTTCATTATTAGTCATTGTCATATCTACAGATAGATTATTAGATTAAGCAAGTTTTTTTCAGTGAGTTGTAATAAACAGTTTAAGATTATCTAAAAGATAAATTGAAAAGTGTAATTACCTAATTCTTGATCGTCGTCTATACTAAACACAGGCGCAGTTTTTCTTTGACGTTTGATATAATCCAAATCTTTGCTACTTTTCCTCTCTGTATTGCTATTGACATTCGCTGTAGGATTAACAATGTAATCGAATAGCTTTCCCTTTACTTCCTGGCTTTTTAGTTTCACAACTAATCCAATTTTGCCCAAAAGATCCGAATTGTTATTTTTAACTTTAACAGGGCTTGTTTCATTTGAATTTTCTTCCAACAAATTAGCATTGCACACCAGACAGTGCTGCGAATTGTGATCAACCAGGCCTAATACCACTTCGTCGCCGAAATATTCATGAATAGCTAAAAATAGAAATTATAATTACGTAAAAATATAATTTAAAAATTCTTTGAAGAGTATATATTCATAAATAAATAAGAATATAAGATAATTACCCTGATATCCAGAAGTAACCATGCTTACATACTGTGTATGCTTTTGTAAAAAGGATGCTACTACCATATGTGTGTAACGATCTTCCTCTTGTCTACCACTTCCCAAAAAACAAAGATGTTCTCCGCCGGCTTGGGAGCCAACAGCTAGCGCTTGACGTTGAGCTTGCAGCAAGCCTTGCACTGCTGTAGCAAACGCAGCAGGTTCTTGAAGCATCTGAAAAAAAATAGAAATACATTTCATTTCCTTGTATCTATTATATTTTTGATATCTAAAGAAGTTATTGTAAACAACGCATGACAAGAGCAGGAGTAATACGTGTTGTTATTTTTCGTTGTTGTACGATTCTCATTGCTGTCACGCCTAGAGTGTACAGCCCATGATCTAGCCGCGCTCAACGCGTGATTATTCGTCAATCCTTTTTAATTAATAGCTAATCTCAATTATTATTGCGAAAATTGCAAAACGATAAAGGACTTTTCTGTTCAGTTTACCGCATTCTACCCGCACACGAGCGTTGGCATGGACATTATGAGACACCCTGTATATGTAACCTTAATAAATTTTAAAATATAACCCACCAAGTTGCAATCAAGATGAAATGCTGTTGGTAAATGGCCTGCATTGTACTGTTCAGCAGGTCTACAATCCACGAGAAAGAATCTAACAGTTTCGACAGTGCTGTTAGGTGCGGATGGAGTTTCAATAGCATTTTCTACTAATTCTTGTGCCGATACAGGTAAACACAATGCATGGGATATTAACTTTTCGTCGGAACTTTCGCCAAACATTATAGAATACAAGTCTTGTTTAAAAGACGTTGGTGTTTTCATTGCATAATACTGTGCCAATGAGCAGAAATCAGTCACATCTGCCGCTTCCAGAGCACAAGGCATTTCTGTTATAGCATCTATTATATTTTGCTTTTCTTCGTCTTTCATATTCAAAATTTGCTCTCTGTAAAGATAAAAATTATATTAATAATTATATTAACATATTTGATATACTAATTATATACATGTTTGATAGACTAATTTTATCAATATTTACCTGGCATTAATAACCATGATAAGTGACAGAAAGAGCATAAAAAATGAATCAGCTTGCATAAAATATAGATCCCACATCGTACAAACCGCTGGCAATGAACAGACACCAGCAAAAAGTGTATTCATCCATATTTTTGTATATTGGTCAGGTGATATTCTTTTTGTATCCAAGAATGAACATAATTCTGGTTCATGATATAGTAATAGTAATCTTAAAACTGAGCTGTATGTTTCCCCTCTAAAAATTAGATAAATATGTTACAAAGAGAAGATAGACGATTAAATAATTGATTTTATATGCACAATATAAATTTTACTAACAAAATTGTCTTTAAACAAAAAATGTAATGCTTATAATAACATCATTTTTTTACCTTGGGATATAAATATCTCTTATTGCCTCAAAAAGATTATAAGTTGCACTGCGTGGTAGTTTTAAAGCTATTAAAGGACCCAATAATTCCATCCATCCATTTCCTCTTTCATATATCTTACATTTACTTTTACAATAAAATGTTAATATGGACTCAAGATCAGAAACTACAGAGACTTTGTCTTCATCATCATTTCCAAGTTTTGCTGTAAAATTTAATAGATAAATAAATATAAATAATTTATTTATTAAGGATACATATTTTTTCTGCATACTTACCAACTAATTGTTGACAGTCCTCGCGGATTATATTTTGTTCAGGTAAATCGAAAACTTCATTAAACTGGCTTAATTGATCACCTCGATCGGTGACACAAAGACAAGCCTGCCAAACATCTGGTCGTAGATTTGCAGGGACTGGTTGGCCTTTACAAATAGCATATATGTCAGATGCAGACGGTGCTTCTGTGTCAAGAAGTGCAGCTTCTAATTCCAATACCCTAAAAAAATAAAGATTGATACAGAGTTAATAAAAACAGAGAGAATAAAAAAGTTAATTACAAAGATTATGCAAATCAAGGAACATGTGATCTGTACATGAATGACGCATTGATTAGCATCTATTGCATACTAATTAGCAAACTTTGACATGGCATTGTATTAATTTACACTGTTCTGTTAATAAAATATCTCCCATTGTATTTTTCATAATGGCTTTATATATATATATACGCACTAAACTTGAAATCTTTACAATTTACATATTGTAGTTTTACATGGTAAGCAATGAGTCAAGTGTAATACAAGCTAATTTGCATATAAACTATTAATCACATCTGGGTAGATTAATGCCAACAAATGTGGAGTTCACATTTTCGCTGAAAAACAAGGCATGCTTTGACGTGGCAAGAAAACTTGAGGAATTTCGATTTCAGCTTACCAGGTGTTTTCATCTTCTTGTAGTGCCATTGTGATCGACGTTACAGCTACGAATCTCAAGACGTGTGAAAGTACGGAAATCCGACGTCCATTAAAATTGTATACAACGCAAAAAACACTTTTGACCGCTCAACATTCTACGACTCGCGTTGCAAGAGCTGTCATATTTTTTGAGCCTTTTCAGTTTCAGTGGGTTAATAGCATGGTAGCTGATAAAACGTAGCTGCTGTTGACAGATCGTTGTCATCTTTCCGGCGAAGTTTTGTACATGCGCAGATAATATGGCGCGAATATTGAGAGGGAGAACATTTATTATTTGCGAATAATACACGCTACAAATTGACATTTTTAATAATGATAGGAATAGTATGTATCACATATACTTTATATGATAACTTCAAATAATTAAAAAAAGGTCTAAAGTTATTACACATAATCAAAACGAAGTAATGGAAAATTCATACTCCATTCGTTATGAAACGTACGTATCTGATATCCAATAAGAAAGATAATAGGTCTGTTCTTTTTAGCTGAACTGACTGCACTAGTTCAGAGTTTATCTTTCTCCTTCTAATGTAGAGGGAAAAAGATGAACTAGTGCAGTCAGTTCAGCTAAAAAGAACAGACCTAATGTGTTCGAGGAATGAATGCGGCATTAGATAAAGTCTCTAGAAAATGTGCTTTTTTATTGGACTATCGATATTTCGTACATCCGATATTGAGGGCAGTGTGAATCCTCTTTATTGTTTCTATCTTTAGCTGCAATATTTGCCGAGAGGGGGTGATTTTTTCAAGTTACGCAACTTCCGCAGAACTCGTGTGTCCGAATAGTATCTCGTGGTCTCTCGTGGGTGTCTCATCGGAGTTAGGAGCGGTTAGGAAGTTTGTCCGGGTTTGCCCGTAATAACGAGGGCCAGATTCAAGATAACCCGTAGTGTCATCGCTTCAATTTAATCTCCGCATGCTTTCGTCGCGTCAATAAAAGATTCGCAATTATCGCCGCCGTCGACATCATTGTGCCGGTGTCCTATCGGATCCACTTTTATACGCGAAACCGTTATTCCCGGCCCAAGAGATGACGAACGACGTAGCTGGCAGCAGTCCGCTGCCAAAGTGGCAACTTGCCCTGGTAGTTGGGGCACCGGTCGCTCTTGGTCTCGGCTATATATATTACAGAAACAAAAACAGCAGCAGCAGCAGTAGTAGCACCGATAAACCGAGTCGCGGCAAGATCAAAGGCAACACAACGGCGACCAAAGAAAATCGTTTACCTGAGCAAATTTCTGGTGATTCAGATTTCGATGGTGAATGCCTACCTATCAAACCACAGGTTAAAACCATACATTTTTTTGGTTATAGATAAAGCCTAATGAAAAAAAAAATAACAGTAATATCCATTTGTCTGAACGATTATGAGGATAAGATACTTTCAAGTTAATTAAATACATTATTAATGATAACAGTAAATTGATGTGTGCATTGGTAGATAAGTGTAAATATAAAGAAATCTATGTATTGGCATATCCTTGCTTCAAGCCATAAACTTCAATAAATATATGGGCAAAAATATCTTTAACGCAGTAATAATTATGATTCTATATTTAAATGAGATATTTGAAACGAGTAATAAAATTGAAATAAATATCTGATAAATGAATTTTTGTTGTACATTTACTACTTAGAAAAACAATATTAATGAAACGAAATCAACCAAGTAATTGTATAACAATGTTCTCTATAGTGATATATTCTTTATGCTTCTAAATTATCATAAACTGCAGAAAATAGTATTTTCATGACTGATCCATGTAAATTCTTTCATTCCAGACGCCTTTACAAATTGCACAAACACACAAAAATACAGGAAATGTACAATTTAAAGCAAGGAACTATGAAGGTGCTTTATATCATTATAATAAAGCAATTGAAATTTGTCCGAAAGAAAATGCAAATGAACTTGCAACTTTTTATCAAAATCGTGCAGCTACCTATGAACAATTGGTAAGTAATTAATAATAATTGATAATAATAGTGGATGTGCAAGTTTGGTATTTATTAATTGTTAGGTTTGAAGTACTATAATCACATTATAATTATGGCTTGCAGAAAATATACGATGCTGTAAAATTTGATTGTACAAAGGCATTAGAATTAAATCCAAAGTATGCAAAAGCTTTGTTACGTCGGGGACGTGTTTTAGAGCAAATGGGGGAGTTGGAAGCTGCATTGGATGATGTCACTACTGCATGTATATTTGAAGCCTTTTCTAATCAAACAACTCTTTCAGTGGCAGATAAAATCTTACAACAACTCGGTGAGTTATATATAAGGATTTTTGGTATTAAATATAAAATATTATTCACAATAAGTTGTAATAAAAATTAATAATAAAAAAATATTTAATAATTTAAAATATTTATTTTCAGGGAAAAAACATGCACAGGAAAATTTAGCAAATAAAAAGTTTATAATGCCGAGTAAACATGTCATAAAGAATTTTATGACATCGTTTCCTAATGATCCAATAACTTTAAAATTAAAGGATCCAAAAGATACTCCGCAGTAAGTATTGAACAGAAAAGTTAGTTTCTAGAAAAACATAATGCTTAGTTTTAATGTAATTATAATATTCATAATTATATTACAATTATTAGATTTCTCAAGGAACTATTACAAGTTGTAAAAGATGAGAAGTATGACGATGTGATACCGCTGTGCACTAAAATCATCGAAAGTCCTGAATTTAGTGAATTACCTTCGTCTAAAACTGAGGTCCTACTTTTACGAGCTACGTTTTATCTTCTTTTGGGTAAACAGCACGCTTCTATGCAAGATATAGAAACTATATTAAACAACGAAGACGTATCCAAAAACGTAAAAGTAAGCGCCTTAATAAAGAGGGCGACTTTACACATGCAACTTGATAATCCAGAAATGGCTTTCAATGATTTCAACCTAGCTCTTAATGCGTATCCAACTTGCGGTGATATCTATCATCACAGAGGACAGGTATTATGCGTATTAATATTGGAATATATTTCTTTTCTATTGCATGTTTGTGGTACACAAGTTTTTTTATTTCAATAATTTAATAACAAAATAATGTTGTGTTTTCAATCCAGATTAATTTGCTTGTAAATAAATTGGAGGATGCTAAGAAAGATTTTACAGAAGCGATGTATTTCAATCCACAATTTGGTGTATCGCACGTGCAAAAATGTTATACAGATTATCGTCTTGCAATTCTCAACAGAGAGGTAGAACTAGCCGAACAGGCTTTAAAAGATTACATGAAAATTTTCGATAAATTCCCGGATCTTCCTGAATGTTATATGTTGTATGCTGAGGTATATGTTAATCATAACTAATTTCTTGATACTAAAGGAAAGTGATTTACCGTTGTGATACAAGCTGATTTATTGATGAAATTTTCATTTATTATGATTACAGATGATGACTGAAACCGAACAATTCGATAAAGCAGATACATACTTTGCGAAAGCAATAGAGAAGGATCCAGATAATGCAATTATTTATGTACACAGAGCTTTATTACAATTGCAATGGACTGGTAATATCGAGCTAGTTGTAAAATATATTAATAAAGCGTTAGAACTGGACGAGAAATGCGAGCTTGCATATGAATCATTAGGAAGTCTTGAAGTTCAAAGGTACGTTTTTGACGCATTTCTTTCTTATAATGATAATCAGGTTTTGTTCATTTGAGAATTTGAAATTATTTTCATGAAATTAATTTTGTAAATCTACTTTTTCTTTTGCAGTGGAAACTTAGAAAGAGGAATAATGTTGTTTGAAAAGGCTTTGGAATACTGCCGTACAACCATGGAGCTCACACATGTATACAGCTTGAGAGATGCTGCAAAAACACAACTTAACATAAAAAATAGATTAGGCGACAGCATACGTGATCTGTTTCAGGCACCAGCTTCAGGTTTCATGCCCTTATCTTAAGCCATCGATAAGTTAATAAAGAAGTACGTATTGTTATCAAATCTAAACAATCAAATTTTGTTAGTTGACCTTTAATGTCATACAGGGTATCCAAATCTGATTACGCTTAGATCTTATTTCACTTTGAAAGATTATGTGTAATTGTTGTACAACAATTCTTTATTCCTAATCGCATTTATTTGATCTCTGATTTAGGCAAATCAGAAGTGAATGTTAATTATAGATTATCACAGTTTTAAACAATTTCTCATTAACTGAGATTTATAGAAAACTTTTTTTAGAAGCCATGTATTTTATTAAATAAGATTTTGTGTCCGTATTTAAATCATTTTATCGCGATTGCGACTATAATTTGTAAATTTTATAAAGTAAAAAGTGAGTTGATTAATGATACATACATACGCTCAGAATGTAGAATACTTTATGAAACATTGAAAAGAGTCGCCTATGTTTGAAAGCATAAAATTATTTCATGTATTATTTTGTATAAAGTTATGCAATAATGCTTTTGAGCATATTACATACAATTTATACAGTTTATAAGAAATTTGTAAGGAACCAATTCAACTTATTTTTTTCTTATTTGATTCTGTAGAAAATACGTATTAAATCAAGTATATGTATATACACTTCGGTACACAATGGTATTGTGTAACATTAAAAAAAAAAAAAATTCAAAATTTTAATTCGATATTAAGAAGGAAAGAAGATAGAGAATTTATGATCATATTGATCATACAATGTACATAATAAATATAACAAATTTGCGTAACAATTGCAATATAATGGTTTAATAAATCTATTTATGATAGTTACTAAAGGAATAGTAATTTTATATAAACAATTACTACCTTTTAATATGTACATCACATTTTATACTTAAGAATAAATTGAATCTTACGCTTATTTAAACATCATAAAATATGGAAGCCAGGGGATATCTAATAACAAACGCCATCATGCTGCTAATAATCTGAAAGCAATTAAATTTATACAGTTTACTTGATATGTCGTTCGATTCACAATATTATAATTATATACAACATATTGTTACCTGAATTATTATCAAAATTGACGTAAGCGTTGGTTCTCTCAACGGACCAAGATTGATCAGTATAAAATTAATCAAAGTTAGATTGTTGCAAGTTACAGTGCCTTTCCTGTCTTCTTGCCACTTCACCAGTCTAAATGTTTTTAGTATCCACATCAATAGTTTTCCTAATAAAATAAAATGTGATTTTATGATACAAGTTATTTTCATTTTACCAAATAAATATTATAAACCATCGTTACCTATGCTATTCAGTTCTGATTTATAAAATACAGTTATACTAGGCTCCAATTTATTCGTTTCTTTATTGTATCTGCGAATAAAGTGAGTGTTCATGTAGTGACCAAAATCTTTTAACGCGTGCTCTTGATGTCTTTTAAAATTTGAAACTTACTTTGGTAATCTATGCCTAGGGCATGGTATAAAATGAAAAAGCTGTGGCACACTGTATAGAAAATTGATTATTTGCGGAATAAAAAACAGCAGGGTCGTTTTACTGAAGTGTCCTATAATACCGACTACGGCAAAAGTCATTCCGGACAGGTAGCAGAATGTATCGCCTACAAAAACCTGCGACGGATACCTTGAACAAAGTATAATTATTTCTACAAGTTTTTATTTCAAAATAATTCTCAAAAAAAAAAAATAGTCACAAATGCGTATAATTTATATTTATGCGAATAATATAAATTTTATGAAACAAATTATAAAACAAATTATGCCATTCATACAAATATATCCTAATTTTGCATTACATATTGTACCTATTTTATTATTAGTTTAGTGTACTATCTGCATAGAGATATAAATATGAAGAATTATGAATATCATAAGGGAGCTACGAGGTGCGCCATTGCTCCGAGACTATAAACAGGGACTGTGGACCACCATGATGAATGCACACACGTGAGTAACATTCGCGCCAAGAGGAAAGCTGTGCGACATCAAAAATCATTGTTTTCGCCGTAAAATCTAACTCGACGACTAATTCTCGTCGGAATAATGATCCAATTTCTGACGCATGGGCGGACTCGAGGATTACTCATACTTTGCGATGGGGATGAGATATACAGTTAATGAGATGCCCCTCTAAGACGCGTGCGCCTTGCGAATAGTCACGATCGCGCTTGTGGCGAGAGTGTGTTCGCCGACGAACACGAACGGGCGGACCACCGGCTGGTTGCTGGCTGGTACGGCACTCGGGCGTGGTTTTTCACGTCGTCGCGGTGTGTGCTGTTGCCGGCCGGGAGACAAAAGACACCCCTGGGAGTTCGACCCCCTGATCCCGACCGAATAGGCCAGCCAGCCCAGCGACTATCGCGGAGACTAGAAGCATGCGGTATCGCCGGTCGCCGATCGTATAGTCGCCGTGGAATCCATTTAAATTGCTCGCTGGTCAGGATCGGCGATCGAGGTCACTCGTGAATTAAATGGCACGCCGCATTACGGTGACGTCACTGTACGAACGTCACATCGAAATCCTGGTGAAACCGTCGTTGTCGTTAAATTGCATCGTGAGCGAAATTTTATTATGTAATATTGTATAGTGTCGATGACATGCGTGCGGGGCGGAGCTGCCGGGACGTTTAACTCGCGCGGCTTGGCTCGAACGGTAAATCTGATTGATATGTTATCGCACAGCTTCCTGCAATGCGGAGAATCAGTGATGTTGTTTAGTCTTCGAAATTGAAGAGTGTATCGCGATTTGACGTTGATAAAGAAATATATAAAATGTTGCAACGAAAAATGAGGTCAAGAAATTTTATCGCGCTAGATAGCAATGCGCGAATCTAGGGAGTACTGTGCGTTTAACTTGAAAATCGATTTTGGATAAAAATGTAAATTTAAGATAAATTTTTAACATGTATTCAAACGTAATGTATATTACGCTGACAACAGCGGAGATAAAATAATTATTACCGTTTCTGTTCTCAGATGATGCTCTTGGAATTACAATCTTATCGAAAATGACTGCAGCAACAAACAAGATTTTTCTTCGGAGACATGAGATGAGAAATTAAGCTATTCGAGCATCTTAGTGCCATGCAGGTCCGTCTAGATGGGAAGCTGGCGTTGCTATATACCTTATTGGTCTTGCAAGTTCTAATTGTTATGATCTATGTCGCCACAACTCCGCCAGCTGAACTAATTGCGACAACGACTCGTGCATCTGTCAGTTTTGTAAAATTTGAACCCTCACAGGTACTATAAATTTCGAAAAATTCTATTAATTTTTTAAACAGTATACTCAAAATATTTTGATTATGAATAAAACTGTGGCTTTTCTTATTAAAGGAATTGCAAGTAAATCAGGGCAATCGTAAAAAATCACCAATTTACCAGACAATCAATGGAGAGATAGCGCTGAAGGATGTCAAGACCTTTAGACTGTTTGAAGTATACAATCATACTGCCTGCTGGAAATTCGGGGTAGACGAGCGTAAGATGAGAAATAATGAGCATCTGGAAAGATGTATCTGCAATCACGGATGGCACGGCCTGGATTGCGGACAGCCAGAAGTAGTATGGAGAGCGATCATGGCATCAAAACAGAATGTCAGTCTGAAACGACGTAAAAACGTTAGGCGCATCATTCACACATTTTTTCTGAACGAATATAATTCAGCTATCGCCGAAGTAATAATAGAGGAACTCTACGACGTGGTGGATCTTTTTGTAATTTGCGACTTCAACAATGCGGAGGACAACTTTCGACACAAGCTGTCCAAGGGATTATTACAGCGGGAGCAGAAGAAGATCCTATACATGAATGTGGCGACAAAATCTCGCAAGCCATTGAGGATAGTATCGAGATACGTCTGGAGTAAAATTAAGGCTGTAGTGCAGAATTTAAAGGACGATGACATCTACGTAACAACAGAATCGGAGCAGATACTGAACTCCAGGGCATTAATGTTCCTCAAAGTATACGACGGTTGGCCTCAGCCTATTGGATTTAGATTAAGATGGTCGGTGTACGGCTTTTTTTGGCAGCACCCACTCAAGACAACGATAACACTCGGTGCATACACCGTAGGACTGATGCACGATGCCTATCAATCCAACTCGCTTGTACTGCGACAACAATTGGATGAAGACGCCAGTGAAAGAGATATTTTAGGATTAGTTATAGGAGATTTGAATCACTACGGCGGGTGGTACTGTAATCTGTGCCAAGCGCCCGCTAATATTATTATCGGTCTTCGTAATAAAGTCCAGTCGAAGGAGATTCATATCGAGAAGACCATCGACGTGCCGTTCGTTGAGGACCTAATAGGAAGCGGACTGTGGTTGGATGGTAAAATCGGTCTTCTGAGAGTCTCTAAATCCAGGGATTTTTACTTCGCGCCTGAAACGATTCTTAATAACACGTGGAAGTATGACTGGCTGGTAGAGAACTTCTACGCTAAATTAGATTACTACTGACGTACTGGTCGCACCCGACTGTGATATTAACTTATACTCGATACTCAATGTACACTAATGTAATATTATACTGGATTTATACGCTAAAATATTACGTTGACGAAATATAAATGTTAAATGGTTTATACATATAACTTATACGCTTGAGAATTGAATCTCCCTTATCCAAAAAGTAAAACTTTCATATGTATATAAATTTACTACGTATTATCACAATATACTACTTTATGACAAAAAAAGATGTACTTTTTAATATAACTTACCAATTAAATTTAAATAATGCAAGAGAGGTGGCTATGTATGGCAGCATAAAGTACATTGAAAATTGATGGGCCTTCCATTGACTGCCAGATAATTCTAAGATGTTGAAGATGAGAATGCTTGTGGCAATGATTAAGCTCTGTCCAACCTCCAAACCGTTTACGCCAGCCAGTATGTTTATAGCATTTGTACAAAATACAGCCAGCATTCCCATATATACGTAATAAAATATCCATAAATCTAGTGAAAAACCAAACCATGGTCTCAATGGTTTTGGAATAATAACCATCGTGGAATTAAAGTTAACATAATAAACCATCAGTAATGGTAAAGATGCTATAGTGGGTAAAAATAACTTGTGTCGCCAACGAAGATCCAGGACATCATCAGCAAAACCCAATAGTAGCATGCAACATATGGATAGTAAAGCAGCCAAAAATTCAACAAACTGTAACGGAAAGCTCTTGTTTATATATACATAAATATCTTTATATATTGTACAAGAGACTTGTTGTACCTTGTCATGTGGAAAATTTTCATTTCTAAATATATAATCTGTAAATGGTACAGGAATGAATAGAAACATTATTATGAGAAATACACATCCAGTAACAACACCTATAGCCTCTGGTCTGCAAAAATAAATCGATTGTGTGCAGGCATTGTTACGTACGATTTACAAGAGAAAAATCGACAGTAATAAAATATATTCTCACTTACACTTTGTCACTGCTCTTTTTGCTCATGTCGATACCGTAGAGGTTAGCTTTGACGAACATGGATTTTATCCTCGGAATTAAGTAAACAGTCAAATAATACGCACTCACAGACATTATTGCATTGATACATATTGGAAACAATGATTTCCACGTTTCATCTTCGGCCTTCATCTCAAAACAATACACGTATCACCGGTTCAATTCAACGCGATCTCATGCACTCGATTTAACTGAACCACTGTAAAAGCCGGTTAGATATCTTTGATCTTACGAAAATTATGCGACTATGACACAATATGTTAATATCATTAATCAAATGTGTATCACTATTTATTTTCAGACTCATGGAGTCATGCTACCCAACACGTTACACAATTTATCGATAATTGACAAGATCGATTGAAACAAGAAAATATTGAAAATATTTTATATGTATACATAGCTTATAAAAATGCTAACATGATGAGAAAATGGGCTATTCCCTTTTTATGTCTGTAATATATTATAAATCATAAGACGTTGCTTTGAGCTGAAGGTATGTTCGAACAGATCGAACAGTCCGAATATCGAGACAAAAAAAGCTCTCGAGTTTTTATTTCGATCGTTTTTCGTTTGAAATGCATACTAGTTTTGCTAGTTCGAGTTTACAGTCGAACTATCCGAAATATCTGGACTCGATAGTCATTTTTTTATCGATCTATTTGAATAGTTTGAACATATAAAAAGTTCAAATCTTTTGAGCCCTAATTATCTGTGCAATATTTCTGTGCAATCTGTTGTCATATTTGCAGATTTTGCAAAACACAGGAAATAAGTTCGTTGTAACGATCAAAACTATTATTAAATTACTTTCATATTGTTAAGATTTTGCTAGGATACTTTTTACTAAACGATAAGGTATATTTGCTGTAATTACAATTATTTGGATTATATAAATGTAACACTTTTTTATTAAAATTTTTTAGTATTAAGATATTTTATGCTAAAAATTACATATGTTGTCTAGTTCGAACTAGTATTTAATAGTACACTTGTTTAACGCAACATTGTGTAATATATAATGATATTTTATCATTACTGATAAATTCTATTATATAAACTCAAAAAATGCGGTTACGTTAAAGAGCCGAGCGTTGTACACTATGCGCAGTGTCATTAGCAATAGCCGAACAGGAGAATCTTTGTACGTTTTTATTCACGAAAACCATTCAAAATCACGTATGTCGCGCTATTCAATTTATAATAATATTTTGTAATTATTAGAATCAAATTTGTTCCACCATATCCACCATATATTTTTAGAACAATTCGATAAACTCCGAATTGTTTGAAAAACCAACGAGCACATAACCTTCTTGAATTGTCATCCACAACATATATTGTTTCTAATAAGCAAATTAGAAGTGTAGCACAGTTATTCGTGTGAGACTTAGTATTAATATACTGAATCTCTGAATTGTTAAGAGTGCAATTGCTAATTTTCTCATTCTTTAAATTATTAGCCTAAAAAACATGCAGTCACAATAATATCATCTTTATCTTTCAGTCAATGGATTACGAAAAACAAAAAGATGAGGTCACTGCTTTGGAAAGTATTTATAATGAAGAAGAATTTTCATATCACGAGGAAAATGGTCAATTCAATTGCAAAATGAATATATTTTTGAATCTTCCAGAAAATTATCATTTAAAATATAAAGATTTGAGGCAAAAGACAGGATCTGTACAGGAAGTGCAGATATCGTATTTGCCACCCTTAACATTGCATGTTACCTTGCCAAAGGATTATCCATCTGTATCTCCACCTTCATTTATTTTATGTTCCTCCTGGTTGCGATCAGTAGTGTTATCCAAGTTATGCAAGAAGCTCGACTTGTTATGGAAGAACAACAAGCAGGAGATCTTGTTCACATGGATGGAATTCCTGCAAGATGAAACACTTAAATCTTTAAAAATAAAAAATTATTTAGACATGGATCACATATATACTTCTTATAAAATAACATTGGAGAAATTGCAAAATTTGCAAGCAGACAAAGAAACGGATGAGCCTAACAAGCAATGTAATAGTAAAGTCAGTAAAAAGAATGCTATAGCAAAGAAAAATGCCAAGAGAAAAGCCATTGACAAAAGAGCTATCTTGAATAACCCAATTGGTACAAATCCTATCCAAGTATTGGTTGATTACAATGAGAACCGAAAGCAAATTGAATTTAAAAAGAATTTTTATACCTGTAATATCTGCTTTACTGATAAATCGGGAGAGCATTGTACACAGTTTTTGCCTTGTAATCACATTTTCTGTAAAGATTGTATCAAGGGGTACTTTGAAGTCAAAATCAAGGACGGAAGTGTGATGAATATCTGTTGTCCTGAGGAAAAGTGTAAATTTGAAGCAACACCTGGACAGGTAATTACTTTGTATTATATTTTTATAGATGCTAATTGATATCAAAGTACTACTGAAATTACACAAAGCATCTGTTTGTTGAATCTGTTGCAGATTAAAGATTTAGTAAGTTCAGAGTTGTTCTCCAAGTATGATTCTTTACTGTTAAATACTACATTAGACACTATGATGGATATAATTTATTGTCCAAGACGGAATTGTCAATATCCTGTCACTCGAGATCCCGATGAACATGTGGCAACATGTCCAGTTTGTCAATATTCCTTCTGTGTTTATTGCAAGATGGTTTATCATGGTGTGGAACCATGTAAAATTAGTTCAGGTATGTACCTATACTTTAATAATAGAGATGATCCAAACAAAAAAGTACTTACGTGTTAAACTTATTATATTAATTTTATATAATAGATTAATTATATCGATTTATTTGCAGCGGAAGAACAGCAATTAGTGAAGGAATACCAATCGGCCAGCAATGAAAGGAAGGCTGAACTAGAGAAGCGTTATGGCAAGAAACGGCTTCAGATAATAATAGAAAACGCTTTATCTAAAAATTGGATAAATGACAATAGTCGCAATTGTCCTCATTGCAAGACCGCAATCGAGGTATGAATCTAAAACATACTTGTAAAGATCAAGCATAATTATATGTAATTTACACATATTTCGGTGAATTGTTTCAGAAATCAGATGGCTGCAATAAGATGACTTGTTCGCACTGTGGCACGTATTTCTGTTGGCTATGCAATGCACGGCTCAATCCCGAGGCGCCTTACTTACATTTCCGGAGTTCGGAATCCACATGTTACAATATGTTGTACCACGGTATGATACCCGATGAGCCGGATGACGATGATGATTTCGATCCTTACGCCGAATACCTGGGATACTATCACGATGATGAATACTTTTCCGAATATTCTTCCGACGAATACTCTTCTGATGAAGAATACTACACCGGTGAAGAATACCATAATTAAGATCTTTTCTTGGAGACGGAGAACTAAACAATGCTGTTAAATCCCACATTAACGAAACATATAATCTCACTGTGTTCGTTGGTTTGTTCTTTTCAAAGAGATGCTGTTTATTAAATATCACGGTCTTATAACTTATAGCTGTTCGGACTATTGCTATCGCAGTAGAATTGCGTAATGATTAAAGTATAATCGACGTTAGTTTATGGTTAAAACTGTAGTTAAAAAATAATTTATTATATGTCGCACGTTATATCTATTTTTCATAATTATTTTTGTAATGTTGTTTTGACAAAAATTTAAAGTTTCTGCGTTGTTATAACAAATTTTAATTCAATTCTAGGAATAGGTTTTTATGAACACAAGTATGAATTTGCTGTCAGAGGATTGCTACTGTAAAACAGAATATTGCAAAATACACAAATTATTTTTCCAATCATTAACATTTCTATTTGTATATAAAAATTACCTATTTTATGTAAGAATATGAAATATATAATTTTATAAATAATGTAATCAAATTAATAAATTTTGAAATAATGCTATTAAATAAAAAACAAAAAATGAAGATTAGTTATACGTGAGGATAGTCATGTAATTCATTATTTAAGAAAATCATTTATTTTTAAATTTTCTGATCAACTTCTAGCCAATAATTAAAAAAGAAATTTAATAATTCTACCTAATTGTAATTGGAGAAAAATGCAGGAGTATTGATTATTTGCAAGCTTGCTTTGCAAATGAGTTGCTTTATTTCAAAACACATGGAGACACATCAGAAAAAGCCATAAAACGCAGGCAGGCGAGTGATTGTGCTTAGTATTCTTCAGCGCCTTCTTCACCCTCGCCTTCTGCGGAGTCCATTCCGACCTCCTCGTAATCTTTCTCAAGCGCCGCGAGATCCTCGCGCGCCTCGGAGAATTCTCCTTCCTCCATACCCTCGCCGACATACCAATGGACGAACGCGCGCTTGGCGTACATGAGATCGAACTTGTGGTCGAGACGAGCCCAGGCCTCCGCGATGGCGGTGGTGTTCGACAACATGCAGACGGCGCGCTGAACTTTGGCAAGATCTCCGCCAGGCACAACAGTCGGCGGCTGATAGTTGATACCGACCTTGAAACCGGTGGGACACCAGTCGACAAATTGGATGGTACGCTTTGTCTTGATGGTGGCGATCGCCGCGTTGACATCCTTGGGCACGACATCACCGCGGTACAACATGCAGCAGGCCATGTACTTGCCGTGGCGCGGATCGCACTTGACCATCTGATTGGCCGGCTCGAAACAAGCATTGGTAATTTCCGAGACAGAAAGCTGCTCGTGGTATGCTTTCTCGGCCGAGATGACAGGTGCGTAAGTTACCAGAGGGAAGTGAATTCTCGGATAGGGCACCAAGTTGGTCTGGAACTCGGTCAGATCGACGTTCAAGGCACCGTCGAATCGCAGAGACGCCGTGATGGAGGAAACAATCTGGCCGATCAGACGATTAAGATTTGTGTAGGTGGGCCTCTCAATGTCCAGATTGCGACGGCAGATGTCGTAAATCGCCTCGTTGTCAACCATAAATGCACAATCGGAATGTTCAAGAGTGGTGTGCGTTGTCAGAATAGAATTGTACGGTTCGACCACAGCAGTGGAGACCTGAGGAGCGGGGTAAATAGCGAACTCGAGTTTCGACTTCTTGCCATAGTCGACGGACAGACGCTCCATCAGCAGAGATGTGAATCCGGAGCCAGTACCACCGCCAAACGAATGGAAGATGAGGAAACCCTGGAGTCCAGTACATTGGTCCGCTAGCTTGCGAATACGATCTAATACAAGATCAACAATTTCTTTGCCGATCGTGTAGTGACCACGAGCATAGTTATTCGCAGCATCCTCCTTGCCAGTGATCAACTGTTCCGGATGGAAGAGCTGACGATAAGTTCCAGTGCGAACCTCATCTGAATACATAAATGTACATAATAAAGATTTGGCAATTTATAATGTCAAAGATTAAAGAATTATAGAATTAAAATACATACCAACTACAGTAGGTTCCAAATCGATAAAAACAGCCCTTGGTACATGTTTGCCAGCACCAGTCTCACTGAAGAAGGTGTTGAAGCTGTCATCTCCACCTCCGATAGTTTTGTCAGATGGCATTTGACCGTCCGGCTGGATGCCATGTTCCAGACAGTACAGCTCCCAGCAGGCATTACCAATTTGCACACCAGCTTGTCCAACGTGGATTGAAATGCACTCACGCTACATAAAACAGTTAAATTTTTATCATTTTATGAATAACTAATATCGAGAAGTGAGGCTAAAATAAAATATTCAATGCACGTATAAACATAATAGATATTTGTATAGCAAGTTCTTTAAGTTTTATAAATGTAGAAATTAATTACGTGTGCGATGTAAATTCCAGCGATACTGAATAAAAAAAAAACGACATGTCAAATTTAACAAAAAACTGTAACCGGCCGGCATGAAACCGTTATAAAATGGCCGCTATTTTCAGCAAGGATAAGCCATATCACAAGAATCCGTGATTTTACGAAATTCTAACCATCTAATGACTTACCATTTTGTATCACAATTTATCTGTTGTCTTTTTATAAAAGAGTCGAATAGCCACCCAAAGGGGATCGATAGTTTGCGAAAGCAAGTAATGGAGCTTTTGCTAACAACTATACGACGTTTAACGTACGATCGACGAACAACTATTGGCCGAGCAACGCCTACTCGCACTATTTATACCCATGACAATCGATCGTTCCAGAGCTCGTTGATTGGCTCGCGGTGATGTCATGTTACGTGATGATTGGTGCACACTGGACCGCAGTACTCATCATTTCCAGATCGCGTATCTCTACGCGAACGATGTAGTACCAGATCGTTGACATGATTCATTAATTTTATTTTACAACATAATCATTTTGGATTCCACAGCCATAGCTTATAATTATCGAAATGCGCAGGAATAGATGTTTTTTCTACAATGTCTGGAGTAAAGTAAATTTCTGCAGAATATCCAAATTTGTTTTGCATTATGTACGTTGCCAGGCAAGAGCGCGAGCGTGCATTTGTGTCAATTGCACCATATATGGGCCGCATCTTTCGAGGCATGACCGAATCGTTTTCTCCAGCGTTCCTTTTTTTGGTAGAACGTTAACTCGTCGCGGAAACGCCCACGAATTTAATTCAGATGATCAAACTGTTTCGCTTAACAGATGAATTTTTTATTATTCTAGCTAGATAAATCTTTATTCCGATGTCTGGAGAGTGCATAGAACGTTTCATGATCTGATTATCCCTCGCTTTACTTGAATTCATGCTATACGCGCGTGTGTAGCCATTTTTGCCGATGACAAGTACAGTTATGCTGCTTGCATGCAATGATAACTCAACTCATTTAAGTTAATGAGAAACTATCTGAAAGATATAATGTGCGTGTTAGCTACACTGATGTCATGATTGTCAATTTCTTTGAAGAAGTTACAGCAAAATGTAATCAAACCCAAATAATACATGTTTGTTTCATATTCACTTAGGAAACGAACTACTATTTGGAAAAGAAAAAGTTATACAAAATTGTATTATATCTCGTCGTTATATCGATTACTTCAATAATAAATTCTTTTGTGGTAATACCTCGATATTAGAAGTGCTATTTATTCTTTGAGAAATAAAACAGTATTTAATAAATAACTATTTTAATTTACCATTTTTGCTGCATTTCCGTTTTCATTTCAAAATTTCTTTATCTTTTTGAAATCTGTTAATTAAATAACAGGATGCTCAAGATCCATGCAGGGAAATAAGCTGGAAGTCATATATATAATAACAGAGAATATAAATTGCATATATACATATAATCATAAAATCTATAAGCCATTAACCTTGTTTGAGCCGCCAAGTGTACAATGGACAGTAAGCGCCATCTAGTGACAATGAATAATATTAGGGAGTTGCAATAATGTTACCATCTGTAGTACTTAACGATTTCTACATGTTCTTTCGAGTTTCTTCTTTTCTTCTTTTCCTTCCGAGCATATATTCACTTCCATCGTATGAGTACAAAAAGTGTAGCACGATGCAGCTAAAGAGGATAGAGATCTGGACAGATTCTATATATTGTAAACAATTATAAAACTTGTATAGTATATTCAAAGATTTACAGATCTCGATTTACTAAAGCATTATTTAATATTCTCGAACAGCATGTATAAAAACTAAAGTCAAAGACAACCATTTGTGCCTAATTTTTTAATCCTGAAGAAAGTTGTCAGCTTTATTTGTGATGCAGATTGTGGTGAATAAATTAGGTTAAATCTATTTCACATATCTTTACTATGATATTTATAGCAAGATGATTAAAAAGAAAATCATCTGAATAATTCTATTTTAACGTGATAACAAACAATTTTAAGTTTTATAAAGACAAAAAAAAAAGGTGATTCTAATAGTGAATGAATGAAGAAGATATAATTGATGCAAAATGCAAGCAGAAGTAAATGACATACTGGAAAAGTCACTGCAAAAAGCCAGAGAACATGACAGGACTGGAAATGTTGGAAAAGCTTATGCATATTACACTATTGTTGCAGAACTCTCCCCTGCAAAGAGATCAGAAATTGAAGAAACATTCACAGATGTATTATGTAATGCACAGTATATATTAATTCTTGTTCAAATTGTAATAATAAAGATAATAATAAAGGAATTTAATTTTTAGGCGAATGGGGGATACAGCTAGCAGAAGATCACAGATTTTCAGATGTTGTACGTTGTTATAAACATTCCTTGGATATTTATCCAAATAGTTCTCGGATGCTCAATAATTTTGCAGCACACTTATTAAGGTAATTTCTATTTTACGATATATTAGTTGATAATTATAAATAAAAAGTAATTTTCTAATTTTTTAAATTTATTTACTGATGTAAAAACTCAATATCACATATATTTTTAAAGGAATAACGATCCCATAAGGGCAATAGAATATTTAAAAAGAGCTTTGAAAATTGATCTCAACTTTCTACCAGCAGAAAGAAATTTGCAAAATGCGTATAGTATGGCAGTGGACAGGTGGCACTTTACAATGCTTAATGATAAATGGAGAAACAGTGCCTTTGAACAAGCTATACATAAGAGAATCAGACAAGGATATGATACAGTATTAGATGTAGGAACTGGTACAGGCCTTTTGAGTCTGTATGCAAAAGATGCAGGAGCTACAAAAGTTTATACATGTGAATGTTCAGAAGCAATGATGTTAATTGCGCAAGAAGTATTTGAATCTAATAATGCAGCTGATATAAAATTGATACCAAAGCTGTCGTTTGATCTTAAAATACCTACAGACATTCCAGAAAGGTTTGTGTATTGTATATGTGTGTGTGTGTGTGTTGCAGAGACATACATTTATATATTATTTTATACATTGACTAAAAATATATACCTGTAATTCTAGAGTAAAATTAATAGTGACTGAAACATTTGATGCTGGCTTGTTTGGAGAGCTTGTAGTACCATCTATGATTAACGTGCACATGAACATTTTAGATTCGAATGGTATGGTAATACCTATGGGTGCGACGATTTATGCAGCAGCCATTGAATGTGAATATATTAGATACAGATCGTCAGTGGTTTTTGATAAAGTAAAAGATTATTGTCCATTAAATTTTAATAATGTGTCTGTATTGTCAGATGACGAATACTATGACACAGAAAACCTGGAAAAAGTTCAAATTAATTACATTACAGAGCCACAAGTGCTCTTTAATATAAATTTTAATGACTTGTTAGAATTGCAAGAATTCTGCAAGGATGGAATAAAACAGATGCTGCAAACGAAATGTAAATACGATGGTACCGTAGATGGTTTAGTCACTTGGTTTAAGTTACATTTGGACGAGGAGATTACGCTGGATTCCTCAGATGGAAAATCTTGCTGGCAACTCGCTGTTTTTCCAGCGATGCCAATCAATTGTCACGGTGGAGATATCTTGACGATAAAAGCGGAAATGTCAAAAAGCAAATTGAAATGTTCTTTTAGCACGGACAACGCGCGCTCTAACGAGAATTGCAAGTTTTTATATCGTCTGCCAAAAGAAGTCATTGTCTTCCTAAATGATTTTAATTACGTCAAAATGCTCACCGAGATTGGTAGATATCAAGAGAGTAGAGAAATTAAATATATTTTGGATACTTCGCCTTTTCCAATCTATGGATTGACGCTTTTAAAGGAACATAAGGATAGTGAAATTTTATACTACAAAACCGATAATCCAACGCTTCGTTTTCTAATTGAGCAAGTAGCTCGGGATAGCGGACTCCAAGGAAAAGTATATATGGTATCTAACTACGACGAAATTCCATGTCCTTTGGATTCTATATTAGTTCATAATTTTGACATTAAAGGTGAATTGAAAGACGATCAGGATAGTTGTTATGAAATTTTCAGGTATTGCATAACATTTATATATTACATTTATGTAATACATATATATTCAATATACAATTATATATTTTAAACATCTTACGGATTCCTAGGCACTTACTTAAACCAAATGGTGTGTTGTTGCCGGAAAAAATTTTCCTTGTAGGACAATTAGTATATTCGGAAGATTTACCAAATATGGTTTATGTAAAAGATGCAAATCTTCAAAGATCATCTTGTTCATCTAATACTCCTATTTGTTTTAATACGGTACAATATTTTAATAAAATGTTTAACTAAATGTAGAAAGCTTATATTTAATATAAAATATTATTAAAAATAGGATTACAAATTTCATTTACAATAATAATAAATAAATATATTCTTTTTTTTTAGAATTTGGCCAGCGAAAATGATTCACATATACAGATTAATACAGCTAATAAAGAAAGTAAAAGTACAAATTATGTTATTGCAGAATACATTAACAGATATAAGGTAAGTCACTTAAATTTTTTTTTTCAAGTTAAAAATATTTAAACTAATTTTCATTTTCATGTTTGTCTCATTACAAATCAATCAAATATTTGATTTAAATTCGAGTTTATATTCGTGTGAAATCATGTCTGATGCGCGAATATTTTAATTAATTTTTATTTTCATGTTTGTCTCATTGCAGATCAATCAAATATTTGATTTAAATTCGAGTTTATATTCGTGTGAAATCATATCTGACGTGCGAATATTTTAATTAATTTTTATTTTCATGTTTGTCTCATTACAGATCAATCAAATATTCGATTTAAATTCGAGTTTATATTCGTGTGAAATCATATCTGATGCGCAAATATTGATAGAAATAAATGAAACAGAGACCACGGAAGCAGTCATGAATTTTGGGAAAATAAATGGTGTAAATACAACTTTACCAAATTCCTTAGTATGTTGGTACAAGATTCAACTCAGTTCAGATCATGTACATGATACAAGGAAGAATGAATCCTTCATGAATCATATTGCAATTGTTTTTGAAGATGAACTGAGAGATGTTATTTTGAGAGATAAAGAAGTAAAAATTAAAATCCACCAAATGAAAGGTTTAATAAAAATCACAGTACTAAATTTGTAAAAATCTAAAAAGAATGAATTATTTTTTTTACAATTTTGTACAATTTTCTGTAAAATACGATTTTTTAAATAAAATATTCTTTTACTTTTATATATTCTCTAATTATTTTTTTTTAATATAAAAATTGAAGATTTCCTTAGAAAATCTCCTCATATTTGCAATCTAAATAAAAAAGAATTAAAAGAAAATTGTATGTATAGAAGTACAACTTTTACTGCAAAAAAAATTATTATTTTTTCCAAAATACACTGAACTTAATATTAGAGTATACACACAAGAATATACATATAAAGAAGAAAATAGAGATATAATATTATACTTAGGACTTATACTTTGATTATTATTTCAAACTACTTTCATGTGTGAATGTGTCATAATGCTCTACCAAAATAATCAGAAATTATTAATTTTTTTTTTTTTTAATCGTGTGAAAAGTTTTAAGAGTTTAGATATATATATTTAATGCATTAATATTGCATTATCTACAATTTACTGGTACTGTATTCGTTATTCAATATTTTGCATAAAATTGGTGCAATTTTTTCAGGATTATTATTATGAACATCATGATTTCCTTCTATATTAATCACGTGAAGCATTTTAGGATCGATTGCATCGCATGCTGCAGTAAAGGCATTTGGACTTGATGTTGCGAAACCAGAAGATGCAGAAAATAAGTATACTGGAACCGAAATCTTCCGATTGAAGTAATTAAATAGTTCTACATTCATGAATGTAAAAGGATAATTTTTTAATCTTATATCTCTATTATATATATATCTTCCATTTACTTCTGTAACTGCACGATCAAACATTGCATCTGCAGCTTCTGGACTTAAGGCTGCAACCCTCAAAGTCGTAAGAGCGCGTAATATTTCTTCTCTTGTGTAAGATTTTGGCTTTATATTGCTATTGAATTGTATTGAAAGTGTAAATGCATTCTTAAAATATTTTCTTATCTCTGGGGTATTTTTAAGTTCCATAAGAAATCCATCAAAACAAATTATTTTCTTGAATCTATGAGGCTGAAAAGTACTGTAAATTAAACCTATTTGTCCTCCCATGCTATGCCCCATAAAAATACATGTTTCCCATTGTAGTGCTTCTAAGATAAAACGTAAGGTTTGTACATAAGTCATTATGTCCAACAACATCCAAGATGGAAAGTGTGATGATCGACCATGACCAGGTAAATCTATACATACATAATAAAAAAGGCCTATTGGTAAATGCCGTATTAACCTAGTGAACGTTCCGGCATTATCCATACGACCGTGCAGCAATAGAACAGGTTCTCCTGTTGGAGAACCATAAGTTTTGGCAGCAACATGGCCCCAAGGCACAGTGAGTTTTATTTCTGAAGATTGTTCTGATTCTGCCATTTCTGATTACTGTTATATGCGTGCTTTGTTGAAAATTCACTGAAATTTTATTCACTGAAATAATGCATTTTCAAAAAAATTTATACATCTGTGTGAAATAAAGTATAAAATGTGTGTGCTGCCAACGTGATTAGCCTATGATAAATGCATAATCAAAGTCATAAAAATAAGTTTTTCTAATGAAATATAGTCTTACCTAGCAAACACAGAACATTGCAGTAACATTGAGGCAATGTTGCAACATTGTAACATTGCAGCAATATTACAACATTGCCACAATGTTGCTGCAATGTTCTGTGTTTGCTGGGTATTCATTCATCGTTTTTAAAATCGTTAATAAAATTCTAAGTATACACATAAACATAATAAATATCTATTTATTTTATTATAAACTATCATCACATATTTTTAAATGTTCTGTTTATTAATTGATTTATGTGTAGTTTTGACATACCTCTTTAATTCCTGGCGAAACTTTATTTAGCAAAATCTTGGTTGTCTCCTGTAGTTCATTTTTTAGTATGTCAAGTAAGATAATTGTATATATTCAGATTTTAGGATCTAGATAGAGAAAACAAGCAATGAATTATGGCATGTACTTTTTTAATGATATAATAGGTCTGTTCTTTATAGCTGAACTGGCTGTACTAGTTCAAAGTTTATCTTTTTCCCTCCACATTGGAAGATAAACTCTGAACTAGTGCAGCCAGTTCAGCTATAAAAAACAGACCTACTGTCGCAGATATCGTTCGTTTAAGGCCATCACACACAAAATGACATAACTGCATATGCATAGCATAAGACCGTCTCGACCAATGAACATCTAGCATAAAGGCGCCATATTGATTTACATAGCATGCTCATTGGTCGAGACGGTCTTATGCT